TCGGATTTGATGCGCTTTCGCCTGCAGTGTGAACGCAGCCTATGTGTCCTCAATTTATGCAGTCAGCAGTGTTCAAGAATAAGACATGTGACCTGGATGAAACTGCAGTGCTATCATCTTAATTAATGTTAATTAGCCACAGCTGACTGAATTTAGTAGATGACAGTTGCAGTTTCAAAAGGTGAAATGGTTTTACGACACAATGAATAATAATAATAATAATAATAATAAACTTTATTTATAAAGCACACTTAAAAACCAAGGGTATGCCAAGGTGCTTAACAAGTAAGACAGAGAATAGGAGGGGGATAATAGAAATAGGACCAAAGCAAGTACTAGGTATGCAAGCAGGTAGCTGTCACTGATACACAGGAAAGCAACAGGTACAGAGCAAACAAGAATTTAAATGAGCATAAAAGTGCATGATATAAAATCATAAAAGAAATATTAACTAGAGGGAAAGGCAAGATTGAATAAGTGGGTTTTTATTCGTGATTTGAACAGTGCAATGGAATCAGATGCGCGGAGGTCGAGAGGAAGGTTATTCCACAGTCCCGGGGCAGCCGGAGCAAACGCACGGTCACCCCGAGACTTCAGCCGAGATCTGGGTTGGGTCAGAAGTAGTTGAGTGTTCTAGCAGGAGTATGTGATTTGAGAAGTTCACTAAGATAACTTGGCGCTAATTTATTAATAGTTTTGAATGTAAGGAGTAATATTTTAAATTGAATACGGTACTTTATGGGCAGCCAATGCAAGCTAGCTAGAACAGGAGTAATATGACAAAATTTCCTGGTACCAGTCAAGAGGTGGGCTGCTGCATTTTGGACTGTAATGCAAAATTAAAAATAAACAGAGCCAAAATCTTCATGTCAAAACAAAGATTCATCACCTATCACGTAGCCTTCACTCCTGCCTTTCAGTTATTGCATCCATTGCATCCACTCTGCAGATAGCAAGTCAGTGGTGACTGAGAGTATAGCATTCAGTCCTCATCTTCGTTTATACAACCCTAATCCCAACCTCAACTCTTGCCGTTCAAACAATTTCCCAAATTAATTAATGGATGTCTTCAGGCATTAGTCATGTGCAACATATAACAGACAATCAACGCAGGACTACATAGTGTAAGTGTGCAAAAACTGCAAAAGAAACAGAACAATACAGGCACAAGACAGCGCAGACACAAACGTGCAATAGAAAAGCGCAACAATGACAGTGGGTTGTGCAGAAAGTAACTTGATATATGAAGGTGTGTGTGTGTGTGTGTGTGTGTGTGTTAGTCTAGTGTGTTCAGGAGCTTGGGCGAAGAAACTGTTTGGCGGTCTGGCAGTGAGCGCCTGGTAGCTGCCAGAAGGCAGCAGATTGAAGGTTGTGTGTGAGGGGTTTTCCACAATGCTGGTGGCTTTGTGATAGATATATGCATCACACTATTCATCATGCAAAGTTCTTTGAATCTTTGTTAATTTAACTCCTAATCCATCCAATTTTATTTATAAAGCACTTTAAAATACTCAGCACAGGACCAAAGTGCCGTAAAGAAAATAGGTCAAAAACAATAGAATAACAGAAAACAGCAAATATAAATAAATAAAACACACAATACATAAAAATTAAAACAGCCCTATATTAAAAAACAAGATAAAACCGCAGAGAATCAACTAAAAACAACTAAAATAAAACTAAAAATCTCTAAAGGGAGACTGTTGGAGCTGCTCCAGCAAAAGCATGATCTCAGTCACTTGTGCTACATGTAACACTGTTAAAAGCAATATTTCAATAAAAAACATCTGGTTAAAAAAATACGCTACAGGTGTAGCCATAGTTTATTAGTTTGAGATCATGAGGCTCATTAGATTTCTGTTGTTCCCCCAAAGGCTTTAAGTTGAGGAAGAGGAGAATCATCAATGAACCAACAGGTGGGACAGGAAACTGCCCCCACCTGGTGGAGGCCATACCATGTGAAGACCCGAGCTGCTACGACTGGCTGGTGGTTAAACTGGAGGACTGTATCCCAGATAATGAGGAGAAGTGTGGACCAGGAACCCAGATCCCTCAGGTCCAGTGTGTCAACAGTGACGGTGAGTATATGTGAACGTATTTATCCCAGTCCGAGCTTTAGGAGTAGCTGGTCTCTAAAGTGTTTTGAGATTGCCTTTAAGTTTTGGTTCCAAGCAAAAGCTACTGTGGTGTTTTGACACTTTCCATAAATTATCTATCACTCTGCTAGCAAAACATCCCCAGGGTATCTTCATACTGTAGAAAACTAAGAACACTGATGATTTTCTGTAGTCAGGTCTCTCTGAGTAGACAGAAGATAATGTTTACAGAAGGTGTAATTCACACAGAGTCACGTGACAATTATGCTTAAAATTGTCTACTTTAAAAATACTTTATGTAATTTTGGCACATTATGTGCCATAGAAACAGTGCCAGTGGAAAGTCAGGGGCCTTTCTCCACTGTCACTGAGTTTTCCTGTTGCCCTCTGTGCAGGTATGGTTTGAAACCTGCGGTCCCACTCGCACTGGCTTTATCACACAGTTGTCACTGACGTTTCACACTAGGCATGTCACACAGAAGCACAATAAGGAGTAAGATGTGAACATGAGTGAATTTTATCTTGATCATGGAAAATTGGACAGTGGCTTATAAATGTGTTGATAGACATCAACTCATCATGATGCACATGCCTTTAAAGCTGCTGTGAAAGCTCGCCTGAGGGTGGGTGATAATGTGCACATCATACTTTAGGAGGCTGTGTGGCACCTGTGCTGGGATGTTTCTTACACCTTTTACGATGATTATTTATTTCTAAGTAGTCCATCGATGATTTTATCGTAGTCTGCCGTCCCATTCACATCTCTGTGTGTTTTTCACAATCAAAAGATCATTCAGTCATTCAGTTCAGGATTCCTAGGACCATCTGATACTCAGCCCAGCCTGTGAATGATGTACTGAAATGTCAGTGAGATGTCACTCCCATTTCCAACATATAAATTTATAGGGTTTATAGATTTGTTCGACATTTGTTGTGTTTAACTTATGTATAACTTTGGCAGCACAAAGCAAAGATGAAAACCAGCACAAAGAGACTTTCGGGCCGCAGCCTGAATGCTCATCACTGCAAACAGCCAAAACTGAATTTACACTTCCCCAAATTAATATCAGGTGATTGTACCACAAAGAAATGCAGAAACAAGAAGTGAGATCCATAGGCAGAATAGCGGGGACCCCGCTAACACCTGCACGCACTCTCCGGACACAGATGCCGTAAAAAATATGATAAAAAACACAATTGTCCATGAAATTCTGAGCTCGATTGTGGAGTAGAACAGTCCACAATATAAAAACAAGAACACAAAACACAATAACAACAAAGAAAGAGAAAAAAGGACTCGGTGAGGCCGGAGCTGCTAACACTGGCTGCCAGCTCGGAGCGGCGCCAGAAATGATCTATTGTTGCTGTTTATTTCAGTTTTTTTGTTTTTTAATTTAAGGCAATAAAACTGTGACGCAAAAGAATTTACAATGTTGGTCATTAGTTACATTAGTTACCACATTAGAAAGTGCAATTTTCCCTTTAGTCATTTTGGCAGTCCAGCCAAGAAAAGCAACATTTCACACTCAGCCTTTATTTTAAAATGACTTTTTGAAGGAAATTTAATGTTGCTTTCTTAGCCCTGTTTAATTTAATGAATGTTATTATTATCTTTTAACTTTATAACACATTTTAAATTTGGCACAGTACCTTAATTCTCTTTGTATTCACCCAGGTGAATATGTGGATCGACAACTCTGCCAGGATGCCATCCTTCCTATGCCATTTATCTGCGAGGTGCCTTGCCCTAAGGACTGTGCCTTGAGCCCCTGGAGCCCCTGGTCTCTCTGCTCCCATACCTGCTCTGGAAAGAACACAGAGGGCAAACAGACCAGAGCTCGTTCCATCCTCGCCTATAATGCAGGAGAAGGTAGGAACTGTATAAGGAGAGCAAAGCAGCACTGCAGCACTCATGAAGCTACAGTATAGGTAAAGGTAATTCTATTAAAAATGAATATGTGCCTCTCACCTGAGCTCCTCAGTGTACGCTGGGTCTTTCAGCAATGACATCAGCATATTTAATCAATGCAAATGTTTAACTTAATAGTACAGAAGTCCAATTTACACCTTTAAGAATACAGGGGTAGGTTGAAATTGGTGCTTAATAATAAGTCTTATTTTTACAACATGTTTTTCATTTTCCATTAAGGACACGAGAAAGCAATGTGAAATTTAACATTTGAACATAATTGAACGACATTTGAAAACTTTAAACATAATCTAAATGTCAATCTAAATATCGCATCAAGTGAAAATCTCGATGGAGGCTTTTATTTTCAGCATCAAGGATTATTGATGTAAAGTTGTAAAGGGTTATTCAGCAAATTTATTCACGTATGCTTTTATCATTGTTTCTACAATAAGTTGTCTTATGGCACATATGCTTTGTGATCATACATTTCTCAAGTATTCAGATCCATCTGTCACAATCAGCAGGGCTGACTGTGTGTAGAGTGAAGGGTGGACCCAAATGCAGACAGAAACAAAATGTGAAACATGACTTGAATAACAGAAAACGAGCCATTTATTGAGGCTGGCAAAATAACTGTAAACAAAAGGCAAAATGCAAGGCTAACAATAAACTAAACTGGGTGAGCTAAATTAACTAAAAAAAACCTACAACAGGAACATGGACTTGACATGAGGAAACTTGACGCAACTTCTTGGCTTGCAAACAAAGCAGACGATCTGACAACGACACTCTGAAAACAGAGGACTTAAATACACAGGAGGTGATTAGAGGAAGTGGGAACACATGGAGGAACAGCTGACTGACATGAGCCTAATGACAGGACAGGGGAAGTGAAACTAAATACAATGAACAAAGAACACACGACCCCTTCAAAATAAAACAGGAAACACTGAAACTAGACATGACAACACAAGCTTAACAGACCTAACACGTGATGAACGATACAAGAACTCAAACATAGAAACCAAGGAAACAATAAATAATAACTGCCTTTCCTTAACTAAAGCTAAATAGGAACGACACAAACTAATCACAAATCTAAAATGAGACAAATACAAAATGAACTCAGAGCGCTGGGTCAGAGACCCAGCCTGTGACACCATCATGTTTTGGGTTTATCAAGACTACGTATTCTGCTTAAAACATCAGCAACAAGTCCAAGTTAAGCTTGCAAACCATGTCTTTGTACAGACTGTATACACATAAAGTGCTCACTTACTTAGCATTACCATGTCCTTGATTTCTTTCGTGAAATACACATACAGTGATGAAATATTGCGCAAATGTAATAGACGTACACATCTTTTGAAAACTATAAACCAGATTATGGTGCAGTGTGTTACGTTAAAGTGACTGTATTTTAAATGTGTGTCTTTGCACGTACTTCCGTTCGGACAGCAATTTTTCATTGACCATTAATCATCCCAAATCTCAGCTGCATGTCACTGCATATGGATGACATATGCATGGGCCAGATGCTGACTGGTTGACAAGTGGGTCCGAATAGGGAACGAAGCAACCGTGGAGTTTACCAGGAACAGAAGAAGAGAGAAAAAATACAGCATGAACATCACGGATCGTGGCTGTGAAGGTCACTTATCATTGTTTTAAACACTCAGTTTTGTTGGTTAGCCCACTACCTTCCATCATATTCTGGGCACCTTCTGCTGGCTTTGTCTTGGCCGGTGATTGTTTTCAGACCCCTCCAGAATGTCCTTGCATTATTCCCTTAAGCCACTCCTCCAATTTTCTCTTGTAGGTGTCACTTCCTTTCTCTTTGTCTAGCACATTCACTGTTTTTGGCAGCTTGGGGATGGCCTGCCTGCCTCCATAGAGCCGTATTGCCACAGTGAGGCAGTGTTCAAAATATATGGTACAGCGAGTCTGTGGGCCACTCTTTCGTGTGCTGCTGTTGGCCCATCGCCAGCTGCAGATAAGAGCGTCGTTATAACTTACAAAGACCTGAAGTGAAAAAGAGCGTTAAAAACAATGAAAGTGTCAACTGTCACTTCCTTCACTTTCCTTATTGGTGCCCACCCGTCAACCAGTCAGCATCTTCCAAGATGAAAATCTGACCTGAGGTGGCATTCCAGTAGAAATTCCTTCCTTTTGCCAGTCTCCTTTGCTTTTTGAGTCCAGAACGAATTCATTCACCCACTTCTCTGAGAAGCACAAGCGAAATACGTCTTGTGCAGACTGGTTAATGTTGTTAGCTCTTCCATCTTATTGGACAGAGATCTTAGATTTCTCATAATGACATACGATATGGAAGGTTTTCCCAAGACTTTACTCTAGCTCTGCAGCCTGTCTTTCTTCTCCTTACTTTCATGTGGAGCTCCAGAATATAAAACAGTAGTTACTGTGTCAATGGAGCCATTG